TGTGTGTGTGTGTGTGTGTGTGTGTGTGTGTGTGTGTGTGTGCGCGCGCGCACCTGTCAATATATTATTTATTGATTTCAAACATGGTAGTTCCCACCTCCTAACTACCAATTGAGGATAATCTTTCTTATCCTTATAACTATTACTATTCATTTACAAACATACTCTTAATGGTTGGAGACGGCTTGAATGGGTAATGAAGAAAAACTTTCATATAAGTTTAACATACCTGATGATGACAAAACCTTGTTGAAACGTTGTACATTTGCTGTTATGTTAAACTTATATTAAAGTTTTTCTTCATTACCCATTCAAGCAGTCTCCAACCATTAATAGTCTCAAAGTGGGTTCCTCGTCATCAGGTACCTTGTTGAAACGTTGTACATTTGCTGTTATGTTAAACTTATATTAAAGTTTTTCTTCATTACCCATTCAAGCAGTCTCCAAGCATTATTACTTTCAAAGTGGGTTCCTCGTCATCAGGTACCTTGTTGAAACGTTGTACATTTGCTGTTATGTTAAACTTATATTAAAGTTTTTCTTCATTACCCATTCAAGCCGTCTCCAAGCATTATTAGTGTTTGTCTGTTGTTGTTTTTTAACTTCTCACACAGCTACCCTAGGGATGTCTGCACTAGTCGTCCCAAATTTTGAAGTGATAGGCTAGAAGGAAGGCAGCTAGTCAGTATCACCCACCGCCAACTGTTGGGCCACCCTTCAAAAATGAAAAGTGGAATTGATCGTCACATTATATCGCTTAAAAAACGAGCATGTTCGGTGATGAGATTCGAACTTGTGACCCGCAGTGATTTGTAGCAATGTGCTTTTGAGGTACACTGATAACCAGCAGGAAGCCTAAAATATCCAGAATACAACAGGTTGTGGAAATGTTATACAAAGAATAAAGTGATCATGGACAGTAAAGGAAAAACTAAACAAACACAATATTTTATTTATAATAATGTATTTGCTATATTGGTTAGCCTCTTATATTCGGTTCTGACTATACTAGCTGCTCTGGTGCAGGTGACACAGTTATATCATACTGTACTTTCAAGTTAGATGAAGAGTCCAAGTGCAGAATTCCATAATCCATGGACCAGTCACCTCACCGACCATATCAAACAAGGTAAAGAACCCCAAATAATAACAAGTATTTGTGACACCCTTTGAGACAGGCTCGCATTGCCCTAGGGAGAGGACACAAACACAGGATCAAACAGGTACAAGCTTCTATGAGATAGCTGTTGTCACATCTAACTGTTAAACACACAGAGGTTAGTACATTTACATTTCGAAATCCAGCTTACGATGTCAGAACTACATAGTGCCATCTGCACACAGCCATCCCTAATTTTAAACTTATACAGAGAAGACAGTTAACAGCAACTACCTTAACTGCTATTCCATAGTGCACCTATAGCTCCAAGACTACATTAACCACTAGGCCACGTACTTCAAAGACTTGTCATTATAATGTCCGGACATCCCACAAATAATCTACAACATCCCTTTTCTTCTGATACTCAACAAGTTTTTAATAATAATATTAAAACAAATAATATCCAGTTTTTAAAATTATAATGAGCTTTGCTAATGTTTCACTATTGTAATTTCTAAGATGTGTGTTCCTTCAGTTGCAAAATAATATGATTCAAAATACGAGTCAAATACATTTTAACTCAAATTTCATCCAATAGAAAAGTCCTAATTATTCAAATGATGATGCTTAGAGCAGACTGGAAATTCTAAAACTTTACTTTTACTCAATTTAGTTTTCAAGTTTCTTAGAGAAAGGCAAAACTGAGCTTTAACTTTGGTCAATTTTTTTTTTTTTCATTTCTGAAGTTTATGGTTATAATTTAAACCATAAGATTTATTCTTACTTAAAAACATCAGACTCGATAATTAAATGTAGTTTTTATTTTGAATACAGAAACCTGTTATACATATTACAACTTATAAAAAATACAAGGTATGTTATTGTTGCTCTTATCAAATAGTGAATATAAAATGTTTTGATGATCTTAAAAAACGAAATTTCTAAGTAAACAAAATACAAACATTAACAGAATGAAAAACACGTTTTATTTTACTTACAAAGTTAACAATCTTGAATGAAAATTATTACAATCTTCAAAAGGTATGAGAAAAACACAAAGACTATACAAACTTAAATACAGTCAAGACCTTTAATATAGCACAACTTTTGAACATTATATCGTTAAGCATTCAGTACTCGAGTATCCAGTTTTAACAATGTGCCAAATGATAATTATCATCATTAAGTACTTGAGTATCCAGTTTTATACAATGTGCCAAATGGTAATTATCATCATTAAGTACTTGAGTATCCAGTTTTATACAATGTGCCAAATGATAATTATCATCATTAAGTACTTGAGTATCCAGTTTTATACAATGTGTCAAATGATAATTATCATCATTAAGTACTTTAGTATCCAGTTTTAACAATGTGCCAAATGATAATTATCATCATTAAGTACTTGAGTATCCAGTTTTAACAATGTGTCAAATGATAATTATTGTCATTATCAGAATACAAATGCCACTGAAAAATATAAAATTTTTTGTACACCTAAAATACCAGATTTTTTATTAAAATAAAGCACGTGTTAATAAAACAAAATCTCAAAAATATCTTTCTATAAATTTCATAATAAAACATCCAAACTTTACACTTTGTTCCAGTACAAATCTTTATAAACATTTAATTATATTGTTAAGGTTTCACCTACGTTGAAAAAAAAAGCTTTTCGAGCTGTGAGAGAGAGAGAGTGCGTATTAAATAAAGCTGACAGTCAACAAAAAATTGTATATACTGTCACATACTACACACTCTAAAGAAATATTAATATTTGTTAATGTAGTTAAAATATACACATTATTAAACTGTACGTAAATGATATGATTGTTCAGGACTTTGGAGTTTAAACAATAGACAATTTTTTTAAATTAAAATTTATGTTTATTATTTTTAGAATATCTTAATTTTAAACAAGAGCATTTGTATTTATAGCAAAGCTACAAATTCTAGGTTCCAATCCAACTCACCAATTCCAAAACCAGAGGTCTACCGCACCTTTCTAGATAAGACTTTTAAAAAACTTTGATCCTATCAGGAAGAATATTGTAATATTAAATGTAGTTTAGATGATAACTTACAGTGATAAACGTTTCAACTCAATTAGTTTAATCTATTTAATTACTTTTGGAAGGAATTCATGCTCAAGCTTATTTATGCCACATCTTATATTTCTGTACTGTTACGATACATATATAAAAATATTATTCACCATCCATTTGAGTTTATTCTCCCTAACCCCCTTACAAATATTAATAGAGCTAGCACTTCACTGTAACCATTAGAAACAAGAAAACAAAAAAGTTAATAACTGAGTAAAATAAGTTGAGCTGGAAAACTTTGATTCTATAGTAATTTTACAACCGTTTATTTCTGGAGAACGTGTAAGAGAAAGATAACACATTTTGAAACAATTCATGGCGTTCAAATTAAACATTTAAAGAAGGGGGAGACAATTAACAATACCATGATCAAAACGCAGTTAAAAGCTGATTTCTCTAAGTTTTCCTTGTGAATCCCACCCTTAAATATGAAAAAGTACTACTAAATATTACATTTTATTCAAAGTCACCAAGTTTATTTAAGTACAGAAATTAAAAACTGTACCAACTATTTATGAAACAAAAGGACAAATCTCTTCTGAATATAAGGTGGGTCAATAGAAAGTTGGTTGGTTTGTGTCAGACATTCGTGTAAAGCTACACAAGGACTAGCTATCCCTAATTTGAGTTGTAAACTAGAGGGACAGCAGCTAGTCAAAAATCACCCAGAGGAGGCTCTAGGGTTTCTCTAGTCAAAGCAGGATTTCACTGTCACTCTTATTAAAACACTCCAAAGTGCAGTGTAATTTTAATGACCATAGGACATGAACAATGGACTTATGGATTCACAGGTTGGCATACTAAACACCCAGCCATTAGAATGCTAGACAGCAGGAAACACCCAGCCATTGGCATGCTGAACACCAGGAAACACCCAGCCATTGGCAGGCTAAATACCAGGAAACACCCAGCTGTTGTCATGCTAAACACCAGGAAATACCCAGCTGTTGGCATGCTAAACACCAGACAACACCCAGCAGTTGGCACGCTAAACACCATGAAACACCCAGCTGTTGGCATGCTAAACACCAGGCAACACCCAGCTGTTGGCACATGAAACACCCAGCTGTTGGCATGCTAAACACCATGAAACACCAAGCTGTTGGCATGCTAAACACCATGAAACACCCAGCTGTTGGCACACTAACCACCAAGCTGTTGGCATGCTAAACACCAGGAAACACCCAGCTGTTGGCACACTAAACACCCTATTTTGTTGTTGTATACGTCTCCATACCACTAATCACAAACAGAATCCCAAGTATAGAGATACTTCATAGTTTACAAGATTCAGAAGTTAACTTTAATTTCATCAAGTCTGTCTGTCCTAAGTAAACTCAAATAAAACATTTCTCTCATCACATTTACCTCTAGCCTTCTTAACCTTTTAGTCATTAATGATAAATATATTAAGGTTAAAATACATACAAGTTTCTTTACAAGCTCACAAAACGTATATTAGCAATATTGACACACATACATAGATAGATACATACATATAATGATAATAAAACATAAACGTGAAACTTCTCCAGTCTATCTTACATCTACGTTAAAACCCCCCGTCTCTAATATAATTCATACACAACTTCTCCAGTCCATCTTACATCTACGTTAAAACCCCCCTGTCTCTAATATAATTCATACACAACTTCTCCAGTCCATCTTACATCTAGTTAAAAACCCCTGTCTCTAATATAATTCATACACAACTTCTCCAGTCCATCTTACATCTACGTTAACCCCCCCTCCTGTCTCTAATATAATTCATACACAATACTTTCATTACAGATGTATGATTTGATATCGAGATACGTTATTCAAAATAATTATTCATTAGTAAAGTCCATTAACACTTTTACAGTGATATAGAGGTCGTTTACAAAACGAAAAGTGACTAACTTACAAAATTATTAATTTTTTTTTCAAGCAAGGAAAAGTTCAATCCTCATACACACACATTGTTGCAAATATACAAAACAAAAATCAATCCTATTACCTGGGCAGAAAGTTTAAGTATGCCAGAGAAGTATCAGACAATGCTAAGAAACTAACAAAAACTGCAAACATTTAAAATGATTACTAAAACCAATTAAATTCTGTACAAAAATAAACAATAAATAAAAAATATTATTTTGGGATTAAAAAAAAACGACAAAGCTTTATATAAAAAAAAAAGTAATTTTAAAATATATTAAGTACACGAATACTATTACTAGTTATCTGTAAGAGAAGTTAGTGTTTTTTTAACTGTGGAAACACCACACATACAACTACGATCAAACTACGTATGATAGGGGACAACGTAGGTTGCAGGAAAAAATCCTCGTTTCGATCCCATCTCTCCATCCCACCAGTTGGGGTCTGAATGTTCAATGACGGTGATGATGTCCCCTCGTCTGAATTCCAGTTCCCCTTGTTCCTGGGGTTGAAAGTCATAGAGAGCTTGAACCAAAAACTATGTATATGAAAAGAAAAACAACCTTTGAAGAAACATTTTTGAAATAAAAGGTAAATTCTATACATATATTACACTTAGATAGTTTTTAAAAGTTAAAATAGGTCAACTTAAGTCGAATCAACCCAAAAATCACATTAAAACTGAAAAGCTTATCAAGAAGAACAAGATTATAACAAAAATTTTACCTTGCTAACATTATACCATAATTTACTTCAAGATCTAGTCTAAAATAAACTCAGACTTTAGAGATATTTGTATTTTAATTAGTCCAAAAATATATTGGGTTTAAATGGAAGTCGTGCTGCTATCTACTTTTTATTAGATTCTAACAGAAGCCTAAACGTTTTCCATGTGAAAAACCTACAAGTCATTTATCTGACAGTATTTCATTAAATATGACAACCTTCATCTGATATACATATATATATATACTGTTGACCTTAACAACGTTCATCTGACACACACACACATATATATAGTTACTGTTGACCTTAACATCCTTCATCTGACACACACACACACGCATATATATATACTGTTGACCTTAACATCCTTTATCTATATATATATATATATATATAGTTAATGTTGACCTTAACAACCTTCATCTGACATATATATATATATATAAAATGTTACTGTTGACCTTAACAACCTTCATCTGACATATATATATATATATATAAATATAGTTACTGTTGACCTTAACAACCTTCATCTCACATATATGTAACTACTGTTGACCTTAACAACCTTCATCTGACATATATACACACACACGCATATATATATACTGTTGACCTTAACATCCTTTATCTATATATACATATATATAGTTACTGTTGACCTTAACAACCTTCATCTGACATATATATAGTTACTGTTGACCTTAACAACCTTCGTCTGATATATATACATATATATAGTTACTGTTGACCTTAACAACCTTCATCTGACATATACTTATATATAGTTACTGTTGACCTTAACAACCTTCATCTGACATATACATATATATAGTTACTGTTGACCTTAACAACCTTCGTCTGACATATACATATATATATACTGTTGACCTTAACATCCTTTATCTATATACATATATATATACTGTTGACCTTAACAACCTTCATCTGACATATACTTATATATAGTTACTGTTGACCTTAACAACCTTCATCTGACATATACATATATAAAGTTACTGTTGACCTTAACAACCTTCATCTGACATATACTTATATATAGTTACTGTTGACCTTAACAACCTTCATCTGACATATACATATATAAAGTTACTGTTGACCTTAACAACCTTCATCTGTCTTTCAATAATTTTAAATATTTGTTTACAGTAAAGATTTAACAAAAACTTCTTATATAATTGGATGTTATCTTCAAGCATTGTGGAAATTGTTTTATCTTTGAGTGTTGTACAGCAAAATAAAAATGTTTATTAAAAAAAACCAACGTTTTGTTTTATAGACTTCAACTTCTCCTCTTGATGATGAGGTAGTGTTTATGAAAAATACAAATTCTTTGATTTTTTTTTATTTACTTGTAACTTTTATACAAAATTTTTCAACCTTGCAAAGATGTAGAGTTTTTTTTACAACACGGAGAATTTAGTGCTGCTATCACATAAATAATGATCTGTGCTACTTATTAAGGTTTAGAAATGTTTACACATTCATCACCTCTTCTGGATGCATGTCCTTCAGTTTAACATCATGGGCACGGCTAACAGATGCAGATCTGTGATATTCAACGAGCTCATTGAGTGAATTAAACTTGACAACCCACAAGAAAAACTTGCCCTGTGGATCCCGCAAGACTTTGAAATGTTGGACTCCACCTTCGCACCTAGGAAATTAATATCACATATAATGTAATTCAATAACATATAATATTCAAAGCTTAGGACAATACAAAAATATGGCCCATCTTCCTTGTCTTACGTTATCTATTTTTTACAGATAATGATCTTACATGTACAAAGAGTTTTTCAATCACGTTTTTATTGTTTCAATTTTTATATCATAAATCAGTGCGAACTTTTCTGTAATTTCTATCACTTCACTACAGTACATTTTTACTGTAACAGTTTGATATCTATAATGTCTGTCAATACAGTACATTTTTTACTGTAACACTCAGTACATTTTTACTGTAACTGTCAGTTTGATATCTATAATTTCGGTCACTACAGTACAATTTTTACTGTAACAGTTTAATATCTATACTTTCTGTCACTACAGTACAATTTTTACTGTAACACTCAGTTTGATATCTATAATTTCGGTCACTACAGTAATTTTTTACTGTAACACTCTACATTTTTACTGTAACAGTTTGATATCTATAATTTCTGTCACTACAGTACATTTTTTACTGTAACACTCAGTACATTTTTACTGTAACACTGAGTTTGATATCCATAATTCCTGTCTCTTCACTACACCTGCAGCAAAACAGTCAGCTTAAAATATGTTTGTTTACAAGAATTTGTCACATAAATCACAGAAACTTCTACAGTTTTGGAATGAGTAGTTGTAGCTGACGTGACACAGCAATTATAATACACTAGGAATAAGACGTAGATGTAGAAATAGCAAACAGAAACCATATGAATACGGTATATGTGAAATAAGGTTGAAGATAGAGAAATACTGGGTGACTACATTATCAAATAAGGTTGAAGATAGAGAAATACTGGGTGACTACATTATCAAACAAGGTTGAAATATTTGATAATGTAGTCACCCAGTATTTCTCTATCTTCAACCTTATTTGATAATGTAGTCACCCAGTATTTCTCTATCAGATTCTAAAATAGCAACCAAGCTTTCATTTCTCTTGGATATTTTTTTTATTTAATTACAAAAACATCCAGTAAATACAAATCAGTAAACTTTATCAAGGTCTGCCAGAAGACTGTAGTAAGCAACTTGATAATAAAATTACAACTACATTATTGCTACCTTGCCCCAAGAAAGTCGGAGAACCTTCGGCAAGTCTATTAAGAACGAGAGAGAGTTTACGTTATATATTATTACTCCCTAGAAATCCCAAACTTCTGCATTTTCCTTCAGTGTATTTAATTTTAAAGGATGAAGATAGTAATATGATTTTAATGATAGATTTCAGTCACCAGGATATTCTCTTCTAACCTTACTTATGGCTTATTACTGTGGCTGTTCTACTTTTAATTATATCCTGTCTAATAAGATATTGTACCATAAGGTAAAATTGTTTGGATTGAATATTATTTTGCAATGAATTGGATAATCAGGTAAGATTATCTCACAATGTTACACACACTTGATAGTTACACGTGTATCACATATAACACAGGTATTGTGTCATCTAGCCCACTGGTGCTTTATAGTGGCTTCTAACATATAGAAGCTTTGTTCAATCCATCTCGCTACCAGTAGATAGAAGCTTGCGCATCAAAAATTTTTATAGTTATGATCAATATTTAATTAAACTAATTTATCATCAATATATACGAATAAACCTGGCATCCAAACGTAGTTAATAAATCAACTTTTAATATTTTTTCAGTTTTAATTTCTTACTTTCATAACAAAATATTTAAGTAAATTCTCTAGCTACACTTATCTATGTAACATGACATTTGTTCAATCCAATTTTCTGTGTTTTCATCACCTCTTCTCGATGTTATGAGTTGAACATAAAGTGCTCATTATAATTTACATACTACTAAAGCAAAGTTTAATTTTTATAGCCTCTGTTATTCTTTGTTTACGGAGATATAAACCATAAAATTAAACCTACTTACCAGGCTCACCTATCACATCCTCTCAATTACAGATTGATAATAAATCTCGCTGACATTTTATCATTTATAACCAATAGAAATATAAAGTTTTAGTTGTTCAAATGATCTATAATGTTATATTGTTCTTCGTAGAGATTTTTGTTTACTTTGTCTTCAGATTGAAAGGTGCTTTCGCCGGGTTCAGATGGAACAGCTAATGCCTTTTGTCTTAGTTAGAAAGCCAGTTAAATTATAATAGTTATAGGGCATCGTTTGCCTTTTGTATGCTATTAATTTGTATTTTTATATGCATATTTTAAATAAACAAAACCTGTTTTAGTTACTAGTAATATTGTTACAAGGAACTAGAGACAAGTTTGTTTGGCAGAATGGAAACGCAAGTCCTAAACTTCTTGTTTCTCATGTAGATTGTTTTATTCATTGTTATAAAAGTAACTAAAATATGAAACTAATTAGGCTAGATAACGAAAAACAAACTTTCTACACAAATCATGCATTATGTTGTTCAATACCATAACTTGAGTTACACATCTGTACGTGACTTACAGCTTGAATGTTGTTCAATACCGTAACTTGAGTTACACATCTGTACGTGACTTACAGCTTGAATGTTGATCAATACCATAACTTGAGTTACACATCCGTACGTGACTTACAGCTTGAATGTTGTTCAATACCAAAACTTGAGTTACACATCTGTACGTGACTTACAGCTTGAATGTTGTTCAATACCATAACTTGAGTTACACATCCGTACGTGACTTACAGCTTGAATGTTGTTCAATACCATAACTTGAGTTACACATCCGTACGTGACTTACAGCTTGATTGTTGTTCAATACCATAACTTGAGTTACACATCCGTACGTGACTTACAGCTTGAATGTTGTTCAATACCATAACTTGAGTTACACATCCGTACGTGACTTACAGCTTGAATCGCATTATTACAAGTTAGAGCAATATACAATAAAGATAAATAAAAAAACATGTAAAATGTTACAAACCATAAGCTATCTATGATAAATAATTGTAATTTTCTGTTATAACCTGCAGTCATTCTAGAACAACAACGGGTAATTTAGATGATTTTTTTGTGATGATTACAAGGTCAAGCAAATCAACCGAGTCTTCACAGTGTTAAGGTAGAGAAAATAACCAATAAGATATAAATTTTTACTGAAAAACTTTAGATATTCATTTAGGAGGTTCTGCTCATCAAATTTGAAGATGAAAAAAAAAGAACTTTTAATCTCAAGATCAAAATTCAGACTAGTCAGATTTTTTTCGTGTATAAAAAGACTTAAAATGTTTACCAAGAGCTTACCACAGTTCATGAAGATACATACACTACATTAAAAGTTATGGTATACATACTTTCCTGGCTACCTTGTGCTTGCAAGGTCAGTCAAACTGACCAAACCCATATAGAGTTAAAGAGCAAAAGCACCAGTAGTCATACTACAGACAGTCCTTTTGTCGGTTAAATAAACACCAAGCCCACCTTTGCATTGCTACCGTAAGCCACAGTAGTGGCAGTGAAAGGAACGGCAAGTACAATCCAAAAGACAGTCTCAGCTGGAGACCAGGGTGTAAAGCCGTGTGCTATCTTCTCTTAAACGGCCTTCACTGATGAGATTACTAGTTTAGTTCTACATTATAATAACTCGTGCATGCTGCACATTGAATATGTATGTCAGTGTCGTCTATCCAATCTGAAATTCAACCAAAACTATCCGTCCCATTCCTAATTTTTATCCGACCAAATATAATTATAACGATATATTTTACATACAGATTTATACATCAAAGTAAAAAGAACTTTCTGGAAATATTTTTTATTTCATTATCTCAGTAAAACCACATGTACATGTAGTCTGTTAATGTGTGTGAGAAGTGATGTCTGAAGAAGAGTCATCATCCCACAAAACAGTGCATTAACTTAGACAATGACTTAACTTATTGTTTTTACATATTGAACACATTTACAACGTTAAGTGGAAGTTTATCATGTATAATAAACACTCGTTTGGACCATAAGACAACGAATTATAAGAAACTTACTTAACTGACAACGAGAAGTCACCCGGAGAACTCTCGCTGACACGAATCAGAAATGCCCCTTCATGTTTATTCAGTAAAAGCTTCTCCGCATCAGCTCTGGTGATTCTGCCATAATACCAGCTGGAAAAAACGTTAAAAAAAAAAGTTACAAAACCCACAGAGGCTTAATTTTAGGGAATTTCATCACGTATAAACGTGTCCTTGAAATTTCAAAGTGAGTGGTGAAAGATTACGTTAACTGATACGATAAACTTTGAATAACTTGTTGGGTTGATTTAGTCTTTAGAGAACTTGACAACATTTTCAATGTTTGTAATAAGTCACTTTTGACACATATTTTACCCTGTGATGCAAGTATTTACTGAATATTTTCAATGTTTGTAATAAGTTTGTACATATTTTAATACTGAGAACAGGAAAAATTACTTTATAATATGTCCCAACGACAAGGATTAAAATAACCTTCATGTTTCTCTTTTAATTCTATTTATAATTGAG